AATTTTCAGCCATTCTAAATCAGCTACTTTAATGTTGATCCCAAAATCCAATTATCTTTGATTTCATGGATTTCCAGTAAGTGAATTATGAATAGCAAGATGAAGCTAAATAGCATAAATCTCCATCAAGGCCTTTCTGAAACTAGCAGATGAGTCTAACAGAGGATGACAGGCTACAATCACCACACAGCCCTTACCTAAGGTAACACTTATAAATATTTAGCAACAAACAAACAAAACTAGTAGTTCAGTATTACATCCGGTCAAGAAAATAATGTCAATCTAAAGCCAAGTGCTTTGCAGTAACAAGGTTTAAGGCTAGACAACGCATATTATTATCTTTTTAAAGTTAAGATTATACCTCACCAAATACATATATACACTTCTTGGTTACATTGTGATGATTCTTCATATTGCAAAAGGAAAAAGGAAAAACTACCTTCAGCATATAAACTCTAGTACAGTATATATGTCTTGCAATCCTAACTCTAAGGACAGCTATAGAGTCACCCATTAAAAAAATCTATTAAAATCTGCATTGTTGGACATCAGTATGCAACTTGGTCAACTATTTATCCCTTTACATAAAATAAAAGCATGTTCATATGAGAGGAAATAAGCTGCTTTCTTTCTGACCTCAGTTTCCTGACTGTAGATCATCTTCCCCAGTCTGATACCCACCAAATGCAACTGACTTCACCAGATACTTGATGTGGATCCCAATATACCTGGAGGGCGCCTGGTTGAAGAAGCATGCACGAAATGTCACTGTGCTTTTCCATCTACCAACCTACCAAGGTGGGTTTTTTCCAACTCTCTCTTTCTCTGTACACCACTCATTCAAGCCATTTGTTATATTAGCCAACTCGGATAACCCTGATTTAAGCAGAATTCCAGTGACCAAGTTTATCTAGGTGAGAGATGGGGGCTGGTGTGAAGCTAGCCAGTAAGCAAGCAGATGAACAGATGAAGGCAAAGAAAGCAGCGACAACAGCAGAAGCAGACAAACCTAAAATGAAAAAAAATGCTGCATTTATTAGCCCCTTTCCAAACCCTCCCCAAGCTTCAGCAAAGCCAGGATGCAAGCCAAAGACCAGCCTGTCAACATGCAGGGGAAGCAAGCTACCCCAGATACACATTCGCTGCATATGTACGTATGCGCTCGTAAACAGTGTAGATCAACACTGCACAAACCCACAGAGCGATTCATTCGCACGGTATATGAAAAGTATGCGGGAAACGTACCCATTCACTGCCCTCACCCAAACACGTACATATGCCACCGTGGATTCCCGGGGGTAACCGCAAGAACAGAGATGGGGGGCAGAGGGACTGCCAGAGCAGCCCCTCGCCGCCAAAGCGGGGGCGCGTTGGGTGGGCAGACCGGCAAGTGCACGGCGGTGGCGCGTCGAGCCCAGGCGCCTCCCCTTCCTCCCCAAATCCCCGGGCTGCGGAGCCCGAGACATACCTAGGACCACGCATACCACGTCCAGCGCCACATAGGGGAGCCGCGTCTTGTCAAACATCTTGGGACTGCGGCTGCGGCGGCGGCGCCTCCCTCAACCGAGGCTCGGTCGGGACGAGGCTGGGCTAGCAAGAGCGGCGAGCGGGAGGAAAGGGCCGG